CAAACTCTTGCCCTTCTGGAGTTTATATCCTATAGTGGTTGGTTTCATTGGGAAGGCAGACACTGAGAGGCGCTTTTCAACCTTCTTTTAATCACAACTCCTAATGAGAAATACTTTATGCACAGCAGTGAAGAACAGTTCTTTTCCCCCTCTCCTGTTCCACACAGCCAAATCAGAAGTTTTGTAGAGCACTCTAATTATATATAGAAAATTAAAACCACAGAAGTTATTGATTTATTTTTATTATTAATTTATCTTATTAATACTTGAATGAAACATAGGCAAATTCTCAAATATACTAATTTTAAATCCCAAACATCATCTTTGAAAATGAGATTGCTTGACAAGTGATATTGCTGGAAAAAATGTGACCTTCATTTCTGAGTTTATTTACCTTGCTCAATGTTTTCCCTCAGGTTCCCTCAGGACCATCCATGAACTCCAGTACATTCACCAGGAAGGTCTGGTTAGTTCCAAAACACATCAATATTTTGGCTATTCAATGAGCTCTCTTCAATAACTTTAACAACCTTCACCGTGGTTTTTTTTATTTGTTTGTTTGTTTGTTTTTAACAATTCCATGAGGTACAGCAGAATTATTTCTAGAGATGCCAAGTAGAGTTTCTACTGAGGTTGATTTCTAAGCGTAAGTGTTGTTAATAGATGTTAACAATATTTGAATAGTTTTGCTGTGTTTTCTAGCCATACCAGCTGGCTCCAGTACTCATGATTCCTTTATTATTTTTCTAGCTTAATAGATATTCACCAGTGAGGCATTTTTCCAATTCTGTAAATGTATCTGATCAAGTACATGCAAAGTTGCGCACACGCACACACCACACCCCCTTGTCATCCTGGATGAACCAGGATTGTTGAGTAACATGCAGCAGCCATGCTCTTTTGGGGATGGGTCCCAAGCTGGACTTTCCTCTACTGGAAAGTCCTCTACTGGACTTTCACCACATGAGCAGTCTGCAGTTGGCAGGTCCTGCGGTAGTGCAGATTTGACTAGAACTAGTTGTAAGTTTGAATTTATCAGCAGATTTAGCCTTAAAAATTATAGGCATGATATCTTTTCATGTTAGAAAAGTAATTTTTCAACATCTGCGTGCGCCATTTTCTCTTTTGCAGGACCATATGCAACTAAATCTCGTTAACATTCTGTAGAGCAACTAAGAAATTGTGCCAATAATTTTTTGTCTGTTTTCATTTAAAAATGTTTGAGGGGCTTGTTGACAAGTCCAGCATGCTTTGTTTCTAAGAGTCCTGTTAGTTTTGAAGGTATCATTACAAATAATATATCAGAGTTTGTCACTTTGGTTGGATTTTACACACCAGAAAATATATTTTAGATAATCTGCTTTATGAAATCTTGCATTCTGTCTCTGTTTTTAGAGTGCACATCATTCTAAATGAAGCTGAAGCTTACTTGTAGAATAAATATTTTTTTCTCAGCACTCTCTCTATTTCCAGTTCTGAATATCTGGAGCTTGAACTTGGGCATTCCTCAAAATTTTATTTCGTCATTCTTTTCTAATAGTAAGGAGAAATCTCACTAAAAGATAATTCATGCTAATGTAATTAAATGTATATCTGATGCAAACATGAAACATATCCCACTTCATAAGGTCCTTTTAGAAGAAGGCTTTACAATAAAAACTAAATAGTGTTTATATAAAATATAGACTCTGGCCCTGGCTGGTGTGGCTCAGTGGATTGAACACCGACCTGCGAACAAAAGGGTCGTAGGTTCGATTACCAGTCTAGGGCACCTGCCTAGGTTGCGGGCCAGGTCCCTAGTAGGGTGTTTATGAGAGGCAACCACACATTGATGTTTCTCTCCCTCTCTTTCTCCCTCCCTTCTCCTCTCTCTAAAAATAAATAAATACAATCTTTTTTAAAAAATTAAAATATAGACTATGTTAATTGTCCTGTAATGATGATGATGTCATATTCATATCATACATCAGGAAATCAAATGAGATGTTTGTTAGCAGAAGATAGAATAACTTGTATTAGTCAACTGCTATTCATCATAGCCTTCTACTAGCTCTTTATTCTATTTATAGCAATTGGATGCAGTATTTCTAACAACATTCACAATTCTTACTAAAAATCCAGCGATGTGTTCTCATGTTTTCTATTCTATTCTATTCTATTCTCTAGTCTCCTCTACTCTACTTTTTGTTTAAAAAATTAAGTCTAGTTGTGAGCTATTAGCTTTACTTGCTAATTAGCTACTGATATGAATCTGTTCTTTAGCATTTGTGGATAGCTTCAACTATATTATTTGAAATGCGTGTATGATTTCCTAGTTGTTCTGTGTATATTTGGTGAATCTCCAGCTAGACTTCAACTTCCTGCAGGAACTTTTTTCACTTAAAAAAAAAGTCTCCCCCAGTATTCAGTTTTGTGTGTAAAATGGATGCTGGTCGTGTGCTAGTTCAATGCTGACTGTTTGTTGTGAATCACCACAAACCAGGGCCTACGTCGTCATAGGTGGTGCAGATGAGAGCCTGCGCCAGGCGGTGAGGGCTGGGAATGCCTTGAATCATTCCAAATACCTCCCTGTTACTGCCTGTTCCTGAAATTTCATAATTAGAAATTCACTCCTTTGTCTTTAAGTCTTTATTAATTAAGTCGTAACAACCATTAGTACCTCAGTTGAATGAATATAATTTCTATGACTGAGTCATGGTTGAATTTACAAGGAAGAGTCGGCCTAGTGAATCCGTCCGAAGCACCAATCCTTCAGGCGAGAGAGTGGCCACCGGGCGCTCAGAGCTGCATGTCTGGACGGGAGGCCCCGCTGGGATCCCCAGGCCGGACTGACAGAGAGGGCCAGGGAGAAAAAACATGCCCAGGGCAAATGCCTGATTAATGACTTAGGATTAAAATAATGGTATAAATAGTAACTGACCATTAATTACCCACATTTACATACTAATTTTCATTTTTTGCTTTTAAAGAAATACAATACCAAGGCACAAATTAGTTTCCTCTTTTAAGCCTCAATTATCATCAATTTTGCTCAATTTACTCTGCCTTGGTTTGCTTTTTCACTCCACTGAGGATTCTCTCTGGTTTCACTTACAGGGTCAGAACAGACTCCTTCCAAGGCAAGGCAGCTCTGGCTGCAGGTGGCTCTGGGGCCGCACTCTGGACCCAAGTCGTGGAGTCCCAGAGACCGAGCGTTCTGTTCTGAGACAGGCCCAGATCTTTGAAAGCCAGGCATTTCTGCCTGTGTGTGGAGCATTGAAGGGAGGAGGGGGAATCCTCCCCGCTGCTTCCCATCGCACCAAGAAAAACCCCCACCTTATCTCCTGTCGTTTGGACCTTGACATTTGTTTCCCCCAAATACTTTATCTCTCACTTCCAAGAGCAACGGAGTCTACCACCATTCATTACGTCTACTCCAAATCCTGGCCTTTAAAAGATTTCTTAACACTGGTTTACCATTTCAACAAATGGTTTTGGAAAAATTGGATATCCACATGCAAAAATAATGGATTTGGACCCTTACCTTACATCATACATGAAATTAATTCAAAATACATCAAACACCTAAAACTATAAAGCTCTTCGAAGCAAGCACAGGGGAAAAGCTTCATGACATTGGAGTTGGCAATGAGTTCTTAGATATGACACCAAAATGAAAGTGAAAAAGTGGAGAAAACAGATAAATTAGACTTCATCAAAATTAAAAACTTCTGTGCATCAAAGGACAAAATCAAGAGTGAAAGGGCAATCAAGCAAGGAGAAAAATAGTTTTGAGTCATATATCTGATAAAGGGTTAATATCCAGAATACATAAAGTACTCTTACAACGAAAAGACAAACGAACTGATTAAGAATGGGCAAAGGATTTGAATACATTTCTCCAAAGAAGACATGTAAATGATCAATAAGCACATGAAAAATGGTCAACATCACTAATCATTAGAGAAATGCAAATCAAAACCACAATGAGATATCACCTCACACCTATTAGGATAGCTACCATCAAAAAAATAAACAAAACCCCAAATAACAAGTTTGGTAAGGATGTGGACAAAATGGAATCCTTGTGCATTGTTGGTGGGAATTGAAAACAGGGCAGCTGCTATGGAAAACAGTGTGATAGTTCCTCAGAAAATTAAAAAATAGAGTTACTACATGATCTAGCAATTCCACCTCTCTGTATATACCCCAGAGAATTGGAAGCAGAGTCTCAAAGAGATATCTGTATACCCATTTTCATAGCGGCATTATTTATACAGCCACACGGTAGATGCAATCCAACTGTCCATCGATGGATGAATACATTAAAAATGTAGTATATATAGTCAGCCCTCTGATGTATACTATACTTAGGCCTACTCTTTGTTTGCCTGAAAATCAATTTTGCTTGGGCATCTGGTATTTTAATTTGCTAAATCTAGCACCCCCCTACTTGGGGCTAGTTTATTAACATCTGCTTTCTGAGTATCATCCTGTACTAGGTGTTGGGGGTGGAAACCCAGGAACTGAAAGAAAAGATGAAGTTCCAGATGAGAACACAGAGTTTATAGTCTGGTTTCCCAGAGAAATTTGCAACCACAAAAAGAATCTCCTGGACTATTTCAATGAGCGCTAGATTAAACTTAGAGCACAACCTCTGTGTTTTCCTACTGCCTGACTCAGCTCTGACATTGACCTGCTAATTAGGCCGGTCACTTGAGACACCCTTCCCCTGGGGAGTCTGAGTTCTTTGGTCTGAAGAGAGAGCCAGATGCTTGTGGTTTTAACGAGAACCCAGGCGATTTTCCTGCTCCGGTAACTCTGTGGAACTCGGACAGCTGTGGTGTTGGAGGCCTCTGACAACACGTGACATAATGTCGCTTTCCCAATTACATCCCCATGACGGCAGTTTCAGACCTCCACTCTTGTACAATTCTTTCGAAATCACTGGTATACACTTCACGGTGGTGATAATCTTTGTAAGTTGTTTACAATTCAAGTGCATTCTGTTTGCTCTTCTCTCGAATTCGCGAGGAAGGCAGGGAAGTTTATTACTGCTTTACTGAGGACAGGGAGGCGCACAAAGCCTAAATTCAAACAGCCAGCTCGGGGAGCACTCCGGGCTGCAAGGCCAGCCCTATTTCCATCCCACCCAGCTATCTGCCTCCTTGATTGCCTACAAAACGTACAGAGACCTGGGGACAACGCGGCTGAGATTTAGCGTTCACTTCAAGTTTCAGGTGACTTCCGCTCCCAAACCCGCTCGCAGTCCCAGCCTGCAATTAACAAACGGGTTTCGGGGAGAGGTCCGCGCGCGGTTCCGCGCAGACCCTAGGTGAGCGAGGGCTGGGGATCCCGGCGGTCGATACCGGGCACAGGCACGGTGGAGAGGTGGGCCGCCCTCTGGCGCGTCCCAACGGGTAGCGCGCCCGGCTCGCCGCAGTCCGGGAGCGCCGCGGGCTGGCGAGCCCGGCGGCCGGGAGCAGGAGGCGCGCGGGCACGACGCGAGGGCGTGCTCAGAGCACGCGCGGGGTTGCTCCTTCAACGGCCGCGCCGGGAAAAGAGGGCGGCTTCCCGGGGAGGCCCGCCGCCGCCGCCTGGCTCGGAAGTGCGGAGAGGGGTGTTGGGAACTCGGGGCGTGCGTGAACGCCGCCGCCGCCCGGGACAGCCCGGAGGTGGGTAGCTGGTGACCGCAGCGGCTCCCGGGGATGTTTTAGGTGACTTTTTTTTTTTTTTTTTTTTTTTTTTGCTTTCGTTGGAAAAAAAAAATTCACAAGACGCTTTCCGTTTCCTAGCCCGGCCCCTGCGTGCGTGCCCGAGGGCGGGACAGGGGAAGAGCTTGGTCCTACAATGGAGACAAAGGCGCGGGGGACCGTGACCGTGCGCGGGGCCCAGGCCAGGCTCTTGCGAGCCGCCGTCCACTGACGCCCCTGCCAGTGTCCCCTCCCCTTGGCTCCCCTCCCCTTGGCTGCGTCCAGCGTTTTCCGCCTCGTTGCGTGGAATTTCGGACGGTGGTCCCCTTCTCAGTATTAGCAGTACCCCTGCCCGACTGCTGCGGCTCCAGTGACCCTCAAAGTTAGAGATGTCTTTTGCTTTCTATTCTTAGTGTCCGTCTCTCTTTTCTTTTAAATCTAGCCATTGGATGGCAGTGGCCTTTATGTGGAAAGGCCCTCCTCTCGGCAATGCCTACCAAAGCCCGACTAAAGCGGACAAGAGGGGGTCTGGGATGACATTGGTTTTAAGAAATACGCTGCGTCCTTGGTTCATGGCTCTTTGGTCAGGGCGGTCAGAGTAGTGGGTTGGCACCCTCGCTGGTTTGCATTATGAGGGGGTGAGATTCATTGTTTACTTTCTGTTTCGTATCTTTTATTCACTGGCAGAACTAGGAGTTTACTTCGATGTGATAAGTGCTGTGGGAACACAAGCAACCCAGAGGGAAGCCTTCACGGAGGAGGTGGTGTTTTTATACGGGAATTTGAAGAATAATATGATTTCCCCCTCCTAGTCTTTATGTTCCATCTTTCCTCCCTCCTGTCCCTGTGGCAGTCCCTAACTGTGACGAAGTGTTGGGTGAGGTCAGTCAGTCCTGACCTGAAAGATTCAACTAATTTTAACAGGGACAGTGTGCTTGTCAAATGTTTTAAATTCATTATTTCTAAACCTTTTGGTACCTGGGAAGGATAGGTAGTATTGTCTACATTTACAGAAGAATAAAGACTTAGAGGAGATGCCAAATGCACAAACTAGTAATGTTGGGAGAACTTATCTTTCTGAATTAAACCTGTGCTTTACTTTGGTCCCTCTTTGGGAAGAAGGTCATTTAGACTAACTTAGGGTGAAGGCCAAGCCCCTGAGGAGAGCAGCCATTTTTGTGGGTGGCCAGATGTTGGGGGGAGCTTTTCAGGTAACATCAGGAACTCACCAGGGTGGGCCTTACTCACCTGTGTGTCTCCTGCTTCCAGCACCCGGCCTGGCCCAGGGCATGTGCTCCTCAACTGTTGCACTGGAATTCCCTGGCTCCGATGAAGTTATTAATTCCGTGTAGGGGTTCTTTGCCTTTTTTGGTGCCATTGACCTCTTTGGAGTATGGGGAAGCCAGTTTTTAAAAGGCATTAAAAATGTTCATAGGGTTAAACATTATAGTGAAACAAAGTTACCAAAATCGTGTGAAGAAATCAAATTTGTAATTGAGTATTTATTAATTAATGCATTAAGTAACAAAATTCAGTGCTGTATGTAATAACTCATAATTTCAGACTAGTGAGGCTCATGTAAATGATATTTTGCGATATTTGCTGCAGCTGCACTGGGGTATGAAAATGCCTATGACTCTTCTTGGTGAAAATGTCACCAGAATTGCTCTTACTGGTATAGTTTGTTGTCCACATTTATAACCAAATGAAATCCTGAATTTCAGTCGCAGGGGTATCCAACCCGCAGCCCGCAGGCTGCACGTGGCCCAGGATGCCTAAGAATGTGGCCCAACGCAAAATCGTAAATTTACTTAAAACCTTTTTTTTTTTTTTGCTTATCAGTTTTTGTTAGTGTTTGTGTATTAAATGTGTGGCTCAAGACAACTCGTCTTCTTGCAGTGTGGCCCAGAGACGCCAAAAGGTTAGACACCCCTGATAGAGGTTCGTGAAAATAAAGATGTGTGAGAAAAAAAATTTTAAGTTCATAGTCCGCTGAATTCTTCCTGTGGACACCTTGGAGTGTATCCTAGGTTACACACCCTGCCTGGGGGTGGTTTTCCTCTGAGTCCTTGCTGACCACCTTACACCATGACTCCTGGCTGTTTCCTTCTCCTTCAGTTAGAGTTCAGGTTCACAGTTGTTTCTGGTGGCAAGAGCTGTTGAGAGGGAATTGCTGGATTCTTTGCATTCTCTGGCTGCCCTGCTCCTCCTGTGAGTAATTCTGCTAGAGATAATAGGTGTGATAGTGGGAGTGTGTCATATAGTGAGTACGTGGCTGGCTTTTTTTTTTTTTTTTTTTTTTGAGAGGACATGAACCTTAATGGTGTATGGTAGTACCAGTGCCAGGGAAGAGAAAGCAGCTATCACACATATCCCACAGGCATTTAATAAAGGGATCTTAAGATGTTATGCTGAACAATTTTATGGTAATACGTTAGAAAATTCATATAAAATGAACAAGATTTTTGAGTAAAATGCCTTGCCTAAGACATAAGAACTAGAGAATCTGAATAGTTCTTGGTCTATTCAAGAAATTAAACTTGCAGTTAAAAATCTTTCCATAGCAAAATTTCCAGGCCCAGATGGCTTTACTAGTGAAATGTTACATTCTATGAAAGAGATAAAAAGGGAATATTCCCTGGATGCTTTTATGAGGCCGGCGTAACCTTGTTACTAAAGCCTGGTAAGGACATTCCAAGAGAATTATAGGCCAAACTCTCACAGAAAGATGCAAAAGTCTTAAAATGATGTTTTGCTAAATGAAATCTAACAATCTTTAAAAAGGATACTAAACCATGACCAAGTGGGGTTTATTCCAGGAGTGTAAGTTAACGTTAGAAAACCAATAAAGATACTTTAACCATATCCACAGAATAAAGGAGAAAAGTTATTTGACAAAACTCAGCACCCATTCATGATAAAAATTCCTTGCAAGCCAAAACATGAGAGGATTTAAAGATTTCAAATAATAGCAGGTACATCATTGCTCCACAACTAAATCTATAGATTCAGTACAGTCCCAATCAAAATCCCAGCAGATTTTTTTTTCAAAAATAGGCATTAATGAGACAATTTTAAAATTTATTTGGAAATTCTAGACAATCTAAGAAAAAGCAAAGTTGAATGACTTAAACTTCTAGGTCAATATGTCGTATGTAAGGATGGTAGTGGCACAATGCTAGACAGGCGATGGGACTGAGTAGAGAATCCACAGACAGGCTCACGCATATGACAGGCGACACTGTAGTGCAGTGGAGGAAGGATAGTCTTTTCGGTAAACAATGCTGGGCCAGTTGGATATCCATGTGGGCAAAGTCAATCTTGATCATGTACTTCATCTCATGTACAAAAATTAATCAAGGTACATCATGCAGCCCTGGATGGGTAGCTTAGTTGCTTAGCGCGTCATCTGATATACCATGGTTGCAGGTTCGAGCCTGGTCAGGGCACATACATGAATCTACCAATGAATTGCTATGTGGAATTTGAAATTATATCAATGAAATTTTCATAATCTGTCACATTAAAATCCATTGTCTACATTGCAAAAAAAGAGTTAACCAATAAATGGATAAATAAGTGGAACAATAAATCTCTCTCCCTTCCCCTTTCTCTAAAATAAATTCAGTGAAAAAAAATGATATGGCATATAGCTTAAAGTAAGGGCAAAAACAATAAAGATTCTGGAAGAAAGCAAAGTGAATTATCTTTATGACTGAGGTGCAGTCAAAGGTTTATTAAGTGGGAGGCGAAGAGCTCTAATTATCGAGGGAAATATTGGCAAGGACTGCTTGTCTAAGGATTCTATAAGCGAGTGAAAAGGCAAGCTATGGAAGGTAATAGATATACCCAATGAAGAACTCATACCCCAAATACAGAAACAACTTCTATGTTAAATGGCAAGTCACTTCATAAAAGGGGATCTCCAAATTCCTGAGAAGCATATGAAAAGGTGGTTAACCTCATTAGCAATTAGGGAAGTGCAAATTAAAACTGCAGTGGGATATCAGTATATACTCACCAGAGTGGTTAAAATTAAAGAGACTGTCCATGCTAAGTGCGGAGTAGGATATGGACGGACTGGAACTCTCATTGCTAATGGTCATGAAAAGTAGTATAACTGTTTTGGAAATTGTTTGCGCGATCACTTACTATCACGCTGGACATCCACTCTGTGACCTAGCTACTCGATTCTTAGATAAACACTCAGCAGTAAGGCATACATATGGGCACTAAAAGGCATGCAAAAGGCTATGCAGGGCAGTATTTTTCATAATGGTCCTGGGTTGGAACAACCCACATGCTCATCAGTAGTCGAATGTATAGAGAAATAAAGTGTTTATACAATGGAATACGCTACAGTAATGAGAGTGAACAAATTATTGCCTGACATACAACACGGACGAACCTCAAACACAAAGCTAAACAAAAGAAAGACACAATGGAGGAAGTTCCATGTGATTTCATTTACGTGAAGTTCAAAAATGGGCAAAATTAAATAAACTAGGGTGTTAGACATTAGGCTAGTGGTCAGGCCTTAAAGGGAAGGACAGGGGGCTTCTGAGGCTTTTCCTTGATTTTTTTAATCTGAGTGGTAGTGACTGGAGTGAGTCCGCTTTTTGAAAATCTTAAGTTTTTTTCTTTAAGTATATTTTAATACAAACTTTACTTAAAATATTATAAAGTATTTGGTTCATTCAGATGCCCTAATCTGGGGAGTGTAAGATGTGGTGGGCATCACTCATGGTGATTAAAAAAGGTTTAAAATAAATCGGGAATTTTCAGGGAAAAGAACACGATATCACATCATTAGTTTTTCTGAATTAGGGTTTTGTAAAGCTGACTCCTTATTGCTAGTCTCTAACAGCGGACATCTGGCTTAAGGGCGGTTCATATAAAAAGACTTAAGAGTTATGTTTGATGTTAAGATTAATATCAGTGTGAGGTAAACGCCCCCCCCCCCCAAAATGCTAAGGTGAGGACTGAATACAGAATTTTGTTTTCAGATTTAATTTTATTGCAATTTAACTTTATAACAATTGGATTAAAACAGTCTGATGTTTTATATAAATCCTTTGAGTTAGGGACTGTCTTCTCACTAGGCAGGAATGGTATATTAATTTCCCATGGCTTCCTCACAAATGACCGCAAACTTAGTGGCTTACAACAACACAAATCTTTCTTACAGCTCTGGAGGTCAGAAGTCCCAAATGCGTCTGCAGGGTGCCTGTAAATATAGCTAAGAGCTGCAGCAAACAGGGAAATGTTGTCTCGCTGAGTTTTCTAGTTCCCTGACAGTAAACTCATTGATGCAGAGGAATTGAGTGTCTGGAAGAGAGTGTCCTTGAAAAGCTTCCAAAGAGCTGGGTTTCTAGAACTTTCCTATCGTCTCCAAGATTATTTGTGTTCAAATTTCAGTGGCACTTGATCACAACTTCTTAACAAAGTGAGGGGGTCATCTAATATAACAGTGGCCTTCATTGAAAGGTGAGACATTATAAAGGGAAGGCTACCATCTTTCTATAAAGTTCCAGAAAGAAAATTTAAGAAATTCTAGGAGATGCCAGGAATTTAAAAATAAAGGGACTAGAAATGTATGAAGCCAGAAGGGGTTCTGACAAACGCTGGGGGCGGGGGGGGGGGCATGGGGAGCACCTGAGAAGGCTCTGGTGAAGTAGGAGGAATGAGGGAGCCCGGGGTCGGGAGCATGGCTGGCTGGCTGTGTTTGGATCTCAGGTTGTAGGAGAACCCAGACTGAGCTGACTTCAGGGTTCTGGTGGGAGGACCATCGACCTCTGAGCTCATGTTTCATGAAAGCCCAAGATGACATCCCTTCCTGCCCTTTCTGCCCTTAGCCTGAAGGAAGGGGCTTGTGCGCGGCAGGCTCTGGGCCAGGCTCTAAGGCTGAGAACCTCCTGGAATGCCCTGGCTCAGGGCACGGGTGGGGGCCCAGTGGTCCCAAAACCTGGTTTTGAGCCTGGTTCAGTTATTCCCGACTCTGTGACTTCACCTTTTCCACATTCATCATCTGTGAAATGCCTACCTCCCTTACTCCACATACTTCATTCGGCTGTTGTGCAAATAAAATGAGATAACGTGTGAATTCTGGTTTCGGCATTACCGCCACATATGAGAAGGACTTGCTTGGGGCTTCAAAGTTGCCCTTGATTTAATTTGGCATCCACGATGAGACGTGCGTGAGAGGTTTCAGGGACGCAGTGCCGGCTGCAGAAGAGCGCATTTAGCTGGCTCTTTCTTACGGGGGAACTGCCCATTTAATTTGCAGAATGTTAGAACCTAACTGTCCCTCACCTGCTCCCTTACTTGAAGGGACACCTGACTGCCATAACAGAGAGATCTAGAATGGCATTTCTCTTTCATGTCATAGTCCAGTTTTAAGTCTCCCCGGGGGAGCTGTGGAGGTGGGATGGTACCTGAAGTCAAGGAGTGAGGCTCCTCTACCTTGTTTTTCCACGTGGCTTTGCCTCTTGGTCCAGGGTGGCTATTCCAGTTCCACCCAGCAGGAAGGAGATGGCCACAGCCTCATGGCTAGAACTATTCAAATGCACCTACGTGTTCAGATAAAAATTCAACCACTTTGTAAGAAGGGGGGGTGGTGCCTGCTGCAGGGTGGGCCACCAGCAGTGTTGGCCACCAGCAGTGTTGGCCGCCGCTGCCTGGGTTGGGTCAGGAGCTTCCCCGGTAGGACACGCAAGACGGGAGGCAGAGCAGTTTCATTAACCCCTTCTTATGGACAACTGTGCGGTGAGATTTGAAGGGAGAATGAGGAGGTGAAAGCTGATGGCTTAGAAGAGGTTGGAGATGATTAGTCCTTTCCCTTTGTTCAGGCTTTTGCGGCCATTTTTTATTCCTGAAGCTGCCTGTAGTCTCTTCTTGCTGCATCACACACCCTGTGCCAGGGACCATGGTCCCTGCTCCCTAAAGGTCCACTCCATGGGGACAGCAGGCGTGTCAGACGGCGAGGACAGAGCTGCCTGGTGTACACTGTGAGAGGAGGAAGATGGAGGCTGGAGATGCTCAGAGAGAGAAAGGGTCCCTGGGAGGGCGAGTGAACTGACTGGTGACAATGTGCTGCTCTCTAGTGTCATGTCCATGGCCTAATGTTTTTATTTCTCTGTCTCTGTCTAGAAACTCTCAACTTGGGCATCAGGACCTCTTGTCACAAGAAGCAATGCTGCCTCAATGGGAACTGTTTTTTTACCTGCTTGCGTCGCTGGGCTTCCACTTCTATTCTTTCTATGAAGTTTACAAAGCCTCCAGAGGTAAGGAGTCATCACTCACATCACTGGATTGTATGGTGGTAGTGTGTTTAGGTTTATAAGAAACCGCCAAACCGCCTTCCAGAGTGGCTCTGTCATCTGTACACTTTCTCGTTGCCACCAGCAGTGAATGAGTCCCTGTTGCCCCACATCCTGGCCAGCGCTGGTGTTGTCTGTGTTCTCTATTTTGCCCATTCTAACCAACTGGGTAGTGGTAGCTTATTGTTGTTTTAATTTGCATTTCCCTGATGCCGTATCGTGTGGAACATCTTTTCGTAGGCTTATTTGCCATCTATGTTGTTGTCTTTGCTGAGGCTTTGTTCAGGTTTTTGGCCATTTTGTAATCGGGTCGCTCCTTTTGTTATGCTGGGGTTTAAATAGTTTTTTGCATATTTTGGATAACAGTCCTTTCTCAGATATGTCTTTTGCAAACATTTTCTTCCAGGCTGTGGTTTGTCTTCTCGTTCTCTTGACAGTATCTTTTATAGGGCAGAAATTTGAAATTTTAATGAGTCCAGGTTGTCAATTTTTCTTTCACGGATTGAGCCTTTGGTGCTGTAGCCAAGGTTATCTAGAGTCTCTCCTATGTTAACTTCCAGGAGGTCTAGAGTGTTGTGTTTTATATTTAGGTCTATGATATTCAATTGGAGTTGATTTTTGTGAAAGGTATAAAGTGTGTATCTGGACCCATTTTTTTGGCATGTGGATGTCCAGTTGTTCCAGCACCATTTGTTGAAAAGACTGTTGTACTTTATTGTACCACCTTTGCTCCTTTGTCAAAAGTTAGTTTATTACATTTATGTGGGTGTATTTCTGGGATCTCTATCATGTTCCATGGATCTATTTGTCATTTCTTTCACCAATACTATACTCTCTTTAGTACTGAGGCTTTATATTAAGTCTCAGAGTTGGGTGGTGTGAGTCTACTGGCTTTGTTCTTCTCCTTCAATATTGTGTTGGCTGTCCTGGATATTTTACTTCTTCATATAAACTTTAAAATCAGTTTGTTGATATTCACAAGATAAGTTGCTGAGATTTTGATTGGGTTTGCATTGAATCTATAGATCAAGTTGAGGAGAACTGATATCTTAACAGTAGTTCTTCTTTGATTTCTTTCATCAGAGTTTTCTAGTTTTTCTCACATATAACTTGTACATATTTGTTAGATTTATACCTAAGTATTTCATTTTGGGGGCTGCTAATTTAAATGGTATTGTTTATAATTTCAAAGTCCACTTGATCATTGCAGATACATTGGAAAACAATTGACTCATACAACCTTGCTCTAATTTCTTATTAGTTCCGGGAGTTTTTTTCCTTAGTTCTTTGGATTTTCTTCATAGATAATCATGTTATCTGCATGCAAAGACAGTTTTATTTCTTCCATTTCATTCTGTGTATGATTTATTTCATTTTCTTGTCTTATTGCATTAGCTAGGACCTGCAGTATGAGATTGAAAAGGAATGGTGAGAGGGGACATTTTTCCTTTTTCCTGATCTTAGTGAAAAATCTTGTAGTTTCTCATTATTAAGTATAATGTTAGCTGTAGGTTTTGTAGATATTCTCAGTTGAGGAAGTTCCCCTCTATTTCTAATTTGTTGAGAGTTTTAATCATAAATGAATGTTGGATCTTGTCAACTGGTTTTTGTGCATGTATTGATATGGTCATATGATTTTTCTTTCTTAACCTGTTGATGTGATGAATTTCATTAATTGATTTTTGTGTTTGGTGAGGCTGTGTTTTTAATAAGCCTGGACTTAACTCAGCTGGGCAGTTCTTCTGCTTCATGTGTTGTTACCTGGGGCTGCCATCATCTGGTGGCTCCACTGGGCTGCAGTGTCCACGATGGCTCACTCACAGGCTGGCTGTCAGCTGGAGTGCTGTGGCTCTCTCTAAGTAGCTCTCCACATGGTTTGCATTTCTCATAACATGACAGCTGGGTTCCAAGAGGAAGTGTTGCAAGTGCACAAAAGCAGAAGCTTCAGATCTCTTAAAGCCCAGCCTAGGAAGTTGTATAGGTCACTTCTCCCTCATTTATGGGTTAAAGCAAACCACAGGGCCAGTCCAGATTCCAGGGGAGGAATGACCACACCTCTTTACAGCCGGTATAGAGTGTATGCACGTGGGGAAATGGGATTGTTGGTGGCCATTTTTGGAGTCTCACCACCGCAATGGGTGTTACACGTTACCCCGATGAGACTACTGAGGCAGAAACATATTAGTTGTTCCAGGTCACACATTTAAAAAGTAGTGGGGCTGGGTTTAAACTCTAGATCCAATATTTTGTTCTACTCTGCAACTCGTATTTATAGATAATTGAATTTCCTAAAGCACCTTGCTTTAAAGGTCAAGCCCTTTTGCCTACTTTACTGTTGAACTTTAAACTTTAGAATGTTATCTCGTGGGAATAAAACTTTTCCTTTCTGCGTCATAGTAGCTATGGGGATGGGGGTGGGACAGGGTCCTGTTGTGGGGAGTACAAACACTTTTCTGCACCTCAGCTGATTCAGAGGCTGTCATGCTGGTCGGCTTATTACTGACTGCTCCCTAGGCTCAAGCTTCTTTGTCTTTTATGCTTTTCCCTTTAATGTCGGTGCCAAAGTGTTTGGACACTCCCGAGAAATATCTTCTTTCTAATGCTTTAGCCATTTCAGCTCCTGGAAGCCCATCATTCTGCTTGGCCAAGGTGGATGCTTAACTGGTACAACGTTGAGTTTTGGCTCCATGTCTTACTTCCTAATTCAGGAAAAAGTGCTACTTACTCACATTATAGAGGTAGGCCACTGGGAAACTATGTTTTGTGAACTTTTGGGGGACCTTTGTATGTGGAGCAAATATAGGGTCTAGAACATATTACACGCTCAAAACTTATTTGTTAAGTGAAAGGCTGCCGGCGAGTGTCTGCACAGCAGCATTCCCTGGGCACGGAGCTTGTGTGCTGCTCTGTTCCGTCAGCAGCGGCAGGGTTGTCAGGCGCTTGGGGACAGCAGGCTGGATTTAACAGCCTTAGGCACATGGAGTCTCTTGGTAAATCCACAGCAGGGACTGAACAGGACACCCCTTGTTCCTCCCAGCTCTACCAAGCACAGAGCATCTCAAAGGCATGTGGGAATACTTGGGGTGGAGGTGCTGCTGCTTTGCCTGGCGAGCGTCCCTCACGCACGCCGCATGCAGTCTTGGGGCCAGTCTAGGCCTACCGCTCTCAGTTTGCGCTTTCTGGTTTAGTAGAGGTAGAAACACTTCTTTCTCCCAGCTTACACCTCGCGGGAGGAAAGGCATGATACGCCCTGCAGTAGGTGACTTCTGCCTAACAGAGGGCCACGCAGTTTTGGGTTTCCATCAGTTCAGTGCAGTTCTCATCAGTGCAAACCTGGAAAAGCACCTGCGAGGGGAAGTCGTTCGACTACGTTTTCAGTTTACTACCTACCGGTTTATATTGAAATTTTCTATTATTTCTGCTACCTGTTTTGACGTTTTTTAGTTTTCAAGGGATCTATGCATTTTGTGTAGGTTTTCAGTTTCATTAGTATATTGTGGTTCATAACACTCTTATTTTAATTTTTTGTTGTTTCTGTTGTTGGCTTTTTTTCTTCTTGTACATTTTGTTTACTTCCGTTTTCTCCTTTGCTCCCTTTCTCCCTTGTTCATCTCTGCCTCCTATTCTTTTTTCATCGATCAGCTGTGCCAGAGACCTTACTAATCTTTTCAGCTTTTGGCTTTGTTAAAATTCTCAATTTTCTTCTTTTTATTGTCTAATTCATTGATTTCTGCCTTATTTTATTAATTCCATCCTTACTGTTTCTTTGGGCTTACTCTGTTCCTTTTTATTCCAACTTCTTGAGTTGACTGTTTAGTGCCTTTATTTTGTAAGAAGTCTGTGTGTGTTGTTGAATTGTATCTGATTGTTTTTGTCTGGAGGGTTTCCAGAAGAGGAATTACAGAGTCAAACCACATGAATGTTTTTAAGGTTCTTGATCGATGTGCCCAGATTGTTCTCCAGGAGGCTGTGCCAGTGAGCACTTGTTCCGTCGCACAGAGTGCGTCGTACTGCGATCTCCTTGAAGCCATCCTGCATGTATGTGATACTTCACATGAGGTGAAGACTCATAGCATTTTTTCCCAAACAGGTAACCAAACACAGTTTATTAAATCTTTCTTTCCATATTGAATTATGATGCAATCTTGATCATGTACTAAATTCTTATAGGTACACCAGTCCATCTGGGGAGATGTCCTTTTTTCTTTGTTTCTTTCTTTGATTTATCAACCATTTCTCACATCAGTACTAAACTGCTTTAATTTTTTTGCTTTATTAAGTATTTCAGTATCTGATAGAATAAGTTACCACTCACTGTTCTTTATTTTCACACTGTTCTTATCTATTCTTATTGGTTTATTCTTCCGGATGCATATTTGAAATTCTAAAAAAAAAAAACCTCATTACTGCTGTTATTAGAATTACAACAAACCTAGAAATTAATTTGTAAATAATTGACATTCTTATGATACTGTATCTTTCCATCCAGGAATATGGTATTTTTTCTTTATTTATATATAGTTTTCTGTTACTTCTCTTAATGAAGTTTCATGCTCTTCTTCATAATAATTCCTGATAAAATTTCTATTAAGATTATTTCTTAAGCCACTTTTTCTCTTTTATTATTGGGATATTTCCAATTATATTTTCTATAATTTCTAGCTGTTTATTTCTTGTCTATAGTAAAGGTGTATATTTTTGGTTTATTTATTTTATATTCTAACAATTTATTAAATTATGTTAGTGTTCCATTGGTTTTTACATTAGAACAAATGGAACAAAATGGATCAACAGGTTTTGTTCCATTGGTTCCATTAGAGTTTCCATTCGACTCTCCTGGTTTTTGTATGTAGATAATATCATCCTCAAGTAATGATTATGATTTTGCTTCATCAATTGTTGCTTAGCTAGAACTTCTAGAACAATATAATTGTTCAACAATTGGGAAACAATGCTATCCTTAT